ACACATATATGGATGATTATCAGATTATCAGATTATCAGATTACAAAGTATTACTATTACAAAATATATATGATATATGCATGATAAAGGTGTTCCCCTGCTGTCTATGATTGACTATCTATCCAATGGAAAATCCCCAAATGGAGGTTCTAATGGGAAAATCATTTGTCAATTATGATTATCAGAGCATTATCCAACAGGATCCAAAAAGAATCCAACACCAGTCTAAACTCTACACGATAGCTGAGTGCTAAGTGTCTCAGATTCCCGCAATTGCAAGGTGTTTGGCTACAGATCTGATCTTTCAGTGGGCCAGATAGCCTATGGGCATCCAAGAGCTCCAGATCTGTCATGTTGCTGTTGCTCCGGGTGTTCAAGCTCATGTTGCTGTTGCTAATGGTGCCCTTGTTTTTGTTGCTTGCACTGACATATCTTTCGCATTTTGCTTATCTTGCTCAACAAGTTCTCCTGATTTGTGTTTTATTGCCATACGTTTTGTTCTCGTTGGTTGTTGTTGTTGTTCTTCTTGTCGCGTTTGTGTTGTTGTGGTTTGGTTGTGGTCATTACTGTTGCTCTTGTTGGTCTTACTGCTGTCTTCAATATCTGCAACTGTTCTTGTTCTTCGTGATGTTTTATTATGGTCCAATTCCAAAAATTCTGATCATGTTACTTCCGCAGCTGCTCCCAAGCAGAATGTCCTTTTTCATGTGGCCGGACCTTGTGGCTGCACCATGTCTCACCTTGCATCCGTTCCCCAAGGACCGCGGCTCCGACAAAACGCCCCGCGGCGGCATCAACGGCGCCGTTGATACGGGCGCAACGGGTGCAACGGGCGCGCCCTGCTTCGTGTCACCCCATGGGCGACCAAAGGAGTTGGCATCTTAGGGGTTGCAGAGCCGTATGTGTTTATTTCAGTGCCCGTCCATTGGATGACGGATGTTGATCCCATTTGTTGGAGGATAGTATCTTAAGGTATGTTAGTCAACTTCGCAATGTTAGTCAGTTGCCTGTGTTTGATCAAACCTATATATCTTTTGCTGGTAAAATCAGCATGTTAGTTGAGTTTATGTCCCAAGTAATCCGGCCTGGCAACAGAAACTCCCCACAGATGAGTTTCCAATTTAATCTAATTTCAAGAAATGGGGAGTGTCAATTACCACGTTTGTTTACGGGATGGTACCAACTCGTACCAACATTGTTATTTTCAGTAATTGCATTGTTTGTGAAATTTGGATAAAGATGGATACCCTCTGGTAAATGTTTACATAGCCATGGAAAATCACCATTTTTAATGGATTTACCCATTAAAAATGGGGATTTTCCATAGTTATGTTAGTCATTACCAGAGGGTACCCTCACTTCAGTGGTGAATTCAGGTGTTTTTCGGTACATCTCAGGTGTTTTTTTGTCGTTGAAAAAAACGTGACCGTCTGGAATCCGTGAAAAATTTCCCGTCTCCCAGAATCCAGTGATCATTCTCATTCATATCCCCAGATGTATGTATATATGGGTATGGATCAATACCTATTAATACCATTTTTAGGGGGATGAACATCCATTTACCAGCTATTTTGATGTTCACCAGGGGTACAAGGTTTTGACACACTGCCATAAATATATATATATATATATCCAAATTATCCCAGAATATCAATATCCAATCATATCCTTATCATTCCTTTAAAGCAAATCCCCAATTTCCTCATGGTGCTGTTCAATATTTCGTACCTATTTCTTGAGATGACCGGTAAATATTCCAGCAACATGGAGCATATGGGAATGATGTTGTTCAAACAAAGCAACAGATCCCTATCATCCCATGTAATTCCCCATCTCCCTATTTTTTTGGATCAATACCCTCTGGTTATTTAACAAAGCCATGGCAAATGACCCATAGAAATAGATGGTTTACCTATTAAAAATGGTGATTTTCCATGGCTCTGTTAAATAACCAGAGGGTACTATTCTAAATACCATATTATATATAGAGGGGATGAACATCCATAACTCCATTCCAGAACTCCCATCCAGAACTGCCATAAATCGCTATTTTGGTGACCGGACATCACCGGGGTGTTGACCGATTTCCCATCGGCGATCGCCGAGGCGATCCAAGTCGCCGCGCCTTGGGGCTCTTCCAACGCCCGGGGGCGCGGGAGGGGACGTTTGAAGTTGCTGAAGAGCAACGGAAGATGCGGAGGCCAACTTGAATGCCACAAAATATGCAAAGCTCATGGAAACATCATTCTTCAACTGGCAGAACATGTGGGAAATCAATGAAAATCATGCAATTTTTTTTTGTGCTTAAGATGATTTCAGCGGGTCTGAATTTATTGAAGCAACTGTTCCGTTGGAACCCCAATCGGAGTCAAATTGGGCCTCAAAAAACTTCCCGACCCCATCCCATCCCTACAACACATGAACGTCATGTTCACAACAAACAAAAATGAAAGACGCCGTTGGCGGTCAGAAAATGGTAGTTTCTCTTGTTTGTTTTTTTTTCCGTTCAATCAATCCATTGACATCTGGAGGAAGTCATCAGAAGTGATTGGTGGTTTGGAACATGTTTTATGACTTTCCATATATTGGGAATGTCATCATCCCAACTGACTAATAATCATGTTTTACTTTCCATAATATATTGGAAATGTATGGAAATGTCATCAATTTCAACTGACTCATATTTTTCAGAGGGCTAGGTTGCTCAAAACACACCAACCAGTATTTCCCAGTCATATGTCGCTGCCACTTTGAGGCCTTGGATCAAGCAGGAAGTGGAAGGTGAACCGCGGTGACCGAACCGCGGATTGAATCCAATGTTTCTATGGGTCGTAGGTCACCACCATTCGAAAGTCCCATAAAATGTTATAATGTTGGTGAGGTTTTCTTGTGGTTTATAACATTTAATAACATCTAATTATTCTATAGAATGTTTTTAACACATTCTGTTCTAAACAATTATCCGTTGTGGGTGTCATACTGGTCATCTCTGGCTGTCTGACGATCATCCCCCAAGAGATAAAATTGTGAAGGAGATCGGGGAGATACCCGGAACGGCGGGACGTATTCAAAAACCTCCAGAAATGAGAAGGTCACTGGATAAACCATCCATTTTGTTAAGTAAGCCGCTATTCTATTTTTGATGTTCGTTTTCATGGAAGATTCACGGATTTTAGATTCTTCTTCCATTCTAAAAGTTGAGAAATTTCTTATCTTCAGCACAAGTCAATCATTTTGGGAGATATATGGGGGGGGGTTCTTAAAATGGGGGGTCCCCAGTCGTCACCATGGTTCTTTCAATGCTAAGTCATGTTTCAATAACTTGATGATGCAACCCCCATGACTTTGGACATCTCCAAATAAGATCTTGGGCGTTTTGTTGAATCCCCATTCATCATTTATATGCCCTATATGTTCCCATTCTATTCATACGGTCATGGTCATATAGTAGTCCTGTGGTCATATAGTCTCATATAGTCATATGGTGATTTTTGGGCTGGATAAATACCATTATAAATATACCATTTTTGGACAATATATAATATATAGTTACAATTGATGTTATAGTTAGTTATAAATGATGGTATACGGTATAGGTATAATTGATGTTATAATACCATTACAATTATACACCATTATAGTTCATAAACATAAACCCAATGTTTCGATAATATAGCTACGAACAATATCTAGCATTAAATAGATATGCCATTTTATAATCCAGTAGGTAAATCAGTAAATCAGCATAAATCAGCTATTTCTACATGTTCAATAGCTATGTTGAATTTCCAGAGGTTTCGTTATAATCCAATGGTTCTTATCCAGTTATCCGACAGGTGCATTTGCACCATGCAGCCCTCAGGTGGGACCCGGGTGGGACCCGGGATGGCCCATGGCCGCCATGGCAATTAGCTATTGAAAATGACCATAGAAATAGTGGGTTTTCCCATGGAAAATGGTGATTTTCCATAGTTATGTTAGTTTACCAGAGGGTATATATATATATATATATGTATAATTTTACAATAATCCATGTATACCATCAGTCTAATTTACACATGAATCTGGGTAAATTGTGATAATAATTCACGAACCTGAATAGTTCGGCCATTTGGGGATGATTTTCCTAACATAAACCATGATTCCAGTGAGGGAGAGCAGTGAGGTCGCTATAATTTACCCAGATATATATATATACCAAACAACCAGCGATTCTAGGGTAAGGTACTATGGAAAATAAGGTATCTGATGGTACCTATAAGGCATTACTAAACCTCCCCTAAATAATAAAACTACCCTACGTTTTACTATTTGGGATGGTTTAGGGGGGGGACGTTTAATATTAGGGTGAAGGGTTTATTTGCAGATAAACCCATATGGGGATGGGTCAAAACCTACTATCATATTTGGGGTAATAACCATCAACCATCCATTAACCAGGGAAAAAAAGGTGCCTAAGGTACTATGGAAAATATACGGTATCCCCATTTTGGATGGTATGAAGAATAAACAAACATGATAAACCCATATCCATCGATGTTTTTGTCCCATTAAAAAAAAAAAAAAACACTTCTGAAGTTCTCCGGCCGCAATCTTGACAGGTGGATGGTCTCCTCAAGCCGTGGTATCATTTACCCGGGAAGCTGGTGACAGGGAAAAAACAAGAACATATCATCAAGTTCATGAGAAGGTTGTAGAACTTGTTTATAGAACCATGATTGGTTGATCCAGGATCGTGAACGGTCGTGAACATCATTTAGGCACTTGGTGGAACAGATGGTGGAAGCCGCCGACTTCCTGCAAGGAAGCAGCAGAGAGTCCAGCTGACAACAGATGTGGAACTAATTGCAAGGCATGAGCATCACCACCACCACCACCACCATCACCAACACCATCACCATCAAGAGCGACAGCAAAATAAACTCACAACTGCACCTTGACAAATATTTACACCTCCAGAACGCAACCCTAACCATAGTAGCGTAGTTTAGCTTGGGCAAAGGCAAAGCTTACTTTGCCCCGGCTTGCTGATGGCCTGGCCGCAGCCAAGCCATGCGCGCGCGTGCAGCAGAGAAGGCCAGTGCCAGCGGCGCCGGCAACGTGGAGAAAGCGCAGCCAAGCCTAGAGAGGGGCAGTGGATTTGATCCTTGGGCCATTTGTCGTTGGGGCCAAACCTTCAGGCATTGGAGCCACAACTGTGCTGGTGGCTTAGGTGACTTCAGTGTCCTCTTTTGATTTGGGGTATGCCAAAATGAACGTAGCATTTTTTTTAAGTTTATATAAGTCGTTTAAGCCGGACATCGGATTTTTTTTCATGCATCAATGCTGCATCAAACTGTATCAGTAGTTTTTGCACGATCGGGAAGCGGGATGTCGGCGGTGGAAACCGATGTACATCCAGTTAAATCAAGATCGTTCTTTACATTTCCTAGTCAGGGTCCAAACCACGCACTTTCCCTACCAGCAACTAACCAGTGTTTTAAAAAAATAAAATACTGTGTTGTTGGAAAAGTATGGGGTAAAAGGGTAAAACTCACTTGGTTTTTTCTTTTTAATAGGATATTCATGGATATCCCATACAATACCATGGTATATCATTGAAATGTTACCAAATATCATGTCCATTCATTTCCCACAATAGCCATTGTGTATGTTGTATATCAAGTACCATGTATATAATCATGTTACCCATTTTTCAACGGCTATTTTCGCCGGGCAGACACCCCATGTTCAGACAGCCCCACGCAACGTTGCTGGTCTCCATGGACTGACACCAGTGATATCCTGGGTCAATGGACCATTGATGTAGCTGGTGTTTAATGTGGGGGATGGGATTATGAACTACAGTTATGATTATTATATATATATATATCATTATATATCTATTGGTGGATAAACACCATTGGTTTCTTAAACACCATTGATACACAGTTTTGATAAATAACCATAGTTTCTAAATACCATTGATATCCATTTATCTGGGTAAATTATAACGACCAAACCCTGTTCTCCCGAAGCCTGGAATCATGGTTAATAAGAGGAATCATCCCAAAATGGCCTTATTTCAGAAAGCGAATTATAATTTACCCAGATTTATCAATATCCAGGATTATATCAATTATATCCATATATATATATATAAAAATCCAAACTTTCCACTGATTCCAGTTTCAAAACACCATTCAATCACCATATCCATATCAATCCAAACTTTCTGGATTATCGACTTTTTCAAAGTTTGACTCGCAAGGAGACAAAGCATTCCAACCGCTTGCCTTTCGATGCTCGGCCGGAAGGGTTCCCACTTACCGTGATGAGGATTGATCCAATTTGGAGTCTGTTTCGGCATGGGCCCAACTAGGATTACTAAGTGCCAGTGGAAATTGCAGCCTTTGATTCAGTGTATATATATTTATATATATTTATACATATACGACTGATCTCCGGACATAGCAGCCCCATAATTCGGATGGATCCAGGTTAGGATTTGTTCCGCGAATTTTCGCATCGAAATGTCTTGTTTTGGGTGCTGATTTTCAACTGGCATCATGTTTGACACCCTGGCAAATACCCAAAAGTTGACTTCAATTAATGTGTTAGATCGATAATATATGGGTATGGGTCAATACCTATAGATACATTTTTAGTGGGATGAACATCCATTTACCAGCTATTTTGGGGTTCACTAGGTACCAGGGTTTTGACCCATCCCCATATAATATATAATATAATAAATATAATAGATAGTTTCTTCAGTTTTAGGGCCAAGCAAACTGGATGCAGGTTCTTTTCATCAGGCTGTAAGATCAGCATGAGTTGATCCTTATATCTATATGAATGCGGTTGTTTTAGACTCTTTTCCACATTTGAGACTCACAGTTGTCCCAAAATTTGCTTCCAGCTGAGTCTCAACAGAGCTTTGGTGTTGGTTTTGCCATATATCAGTATATATCCAAAGATATGATCAGCCTTGATATAGGCCGTCTAGCCTCCAATGTTGAACGTTGGAAAAGCTAGGGCTGTAGATCATTTTCAGGAGTTTCCCCATGGGGATTTGTGTGGCAGCTGCAGGTTGTGATTAGCACCTCGGAGCAGCAACCGCCGTCAGTTGTGGTTGGAAGGGATCACTGATAGGGATCATACTTCTACGATGACTGTAATAAAAACTAAACATGAAGAATCGTCATGAAAGATGTCATGACATGATATCATATAATCACTCTAGATGTCAATAGTACCAGCAAGTACCATACCAAATACTTTACGAAACCAAAAACGAATACCCTCTGGTAATGACTAACATAGCTATTGAAAATGACCATAGAAATAGTGGATTTTCCCATTGAAAATGGGTGGATCTTTCCAGTTCGCTATGTAAACGTTTACAGCGCCGCTGAGCCCATTGGCCCGGTCTCATGGTCTATGTTGAAATTTCTTGCCCACTGGTGAAGCTGACATTTACCCTCTGCTTATGACTAACATAGCCATGGTATAGATGTCCCATAGAAATAGATGGTTTCCCTATTGAAAATGGTGATTTTCCATGGCAAACTTAGTCATAACCAGAGGGTAGATCTTTTATCTATGAAATTGTTCGTCAAACCAGCATGTTTGTTGGTCTAAGGATTGGTTTTGTTGCTTAAATCCTCAGTGTTTGATGCTTAAATTAAATCAGAAAAATCCCCATCATGCTCGCCACAAGGCCATATTTGATAAATAGAAATAGATAAAAAATGCAAAAACCCCATTGTTTGTTGGTGACACGCTCATTTTTCTGAAGAAATTGGTCCTTTTACCCAAGTGTTCACCTTCTCAATTCGCGGATCGAAGCGTTGCTTCGAAGCTGCGAACCAGTAAAGCACAAAAAACACATCAGCTTTGGTGAAATCAGTTGTTTTCGATACATGCTTCAAGTTCTATGCCCCAGTTCCTCACGTTTCCGTTCATTTTTCAGTGACTTGGCCCATTGAATCCCCTTTTTGTGCCAGGAATCTCCATATTTTTGCCGGGTGAAGACTAGTTAAAGACTTGAAAAAGACCCTATGCTCGATGCAGGGGAACACCCATTGTTGTTGCTTTATTCACCTTTTTTTGGTGAATAACCACATCGTTTGAACTGCCAGATGTTTGGGTTGTGATGTTGGTTTATAAACCCAATCCCTATATGGTTATAGTGATACTGATAACTATAGTCTATAGTATTCATGGGCTTAACATTATAGTTGTATAGGCTATATTCAGTTGTATAGTTATATTCCCCATAAACGTCCATTCACTAGTTTGTTCGCTATAGTGTACTATAGTGATATCCCCCAAGAAACATGCTAAGTTGACCAAAACATATGGTGAACATGGGTATTCAGAAAGCTTTTTGGAGGATATATCATGATATATCTATAGTATTCATGATTATTCATGGGTCATCATTAAACCAACAAAGCATGTGCTTGGTGGTTTGGAACATTTTATTTTCCCATATCTTGGGAATGTCATCATCCCAACTGACGAACTCCATCATTTTTCAGAGGGGTAGGGCTCAACCACCAACCAGTTGTTTTCTTCAGATCTTTCTACATTTGGGTGATTTTTGGGGGAAACGTTGGTAAATCTTCCAGCACCATGGAGCATATGGGATCAACCAACATCATTCATAATCACCATCATTCACAATCATGGTTTTTTTCAACTCCATCTATAAACCAACATCAAATGTCATAATAATATCTTATAATCATTAGATGTCAATAAACCAACAACGAACAAACATCTATAAACCAACACTAACCAACATAAACCAACGTACCACGGCGATTCCGGTGGTTTTTTTTGGGCCCCTTGGGCGCCTCGGAAAGGTCTCGCCTTTCTGGGTCTGGGCCTTTGGGCCTTCCTGGCGCTCCGCCTGCACGGCCTGAACGGCCTGGAGACGACGCCGGCGCCGCAAACGCCGGCGCCGAAAGCGGCGCCGGTGCTGAGACCGAAGGATGAGAGTGCCCTGGGAAGCGCTTAAAAAAACGAGGTTTTTTTGTTGGTTAGGGGGTGAAAACTATAGTATAGAATATTGTTGGTGATAGTTATATTGGTGGAATATGGCAGATCGAAGCTTTTTTCGAGGTGTTTGTTCGATGTTTTTGTTGCTGGTTTGTCATCATAGAGTTTTTGGAATACTTTCGGGTAAGGGAATCTTGGACTATACTATTAGTCCTTAATTCGAATGTGCTTGAGTAAGTAAACTTGAGTTTGAGAGAGTGGCAAATGAAAGAGTTACATCCCTACAATATGTTTCAGTTATTTCAACCTGATCACTTGAATTTTCGTGGTTGTTGAACGATAATCCTATGGTCGTGTTGCTGATGGATGCTCCTATACCAGGCAGCAGCTTCGGCGCCATGGGAAATCGACCCAGGTCATCGTCGTCGTGATCGCTTCAAAAATCGCCAAGCGCAAGCAGCGCAAACGCAGGCGTGCGGAGATTGGGAGAATCACAAAGGGCGATAGAAAGAGGGATGATTCTCAAGCAACTATGAGGGTATGGATATTTGACCCAAAGCACAACACGAAGAAACACGACGCGTGCCGCGAAGTGCCCATGAGATTTTTCAAGGCTAGATGCCGCGTTTGGGGAACCTGGCAGATTTGATGGGCACTGCCATTTTTTGAGAGAAAAAACAACAAGAAAACCTGGTCATATCATGTCATACAGTAAGGTCATACCCTCTGGTATATTAACATAGCCATGGGAAATGGTCCATTTATAGATGGTTTTCATATATTAAAAAAGGTGATTTTCCATTGCTATGTTAAATAACCAGATGGTATTTGATTTCAACATATTTCAACCCATGCAAAAAAACGATTGGCAGGCACAGAAAAACGCCTCTGCACCGGCGGTCGTTGTGCAAACGCCAGGCTGGAGATCCATGGGCCAATGGATATACTAGTAGCTGGGTCATATTAGCTTCAAAATCCTCCTTTACAAGGCATTCATAAGCAACAGAAACCAACTATGGATCATATGGATCCTTAAAAAACCGGTCTCAGTGGTATAACTTCCTTGTTAAGATGAAGGAATTCACCTTGGGCTTGGTCCATCTCAACAAAATTCCAATGAACTTGCGCTTGAAATCCGTTCCAACCTTGTCTGGTTGGTGGTTTGGAACATGTTTTCCATATATTGGGAATGTCATCATCCCAACTGACAAACTCATATTTTTCAGAGGGGTAGGTCTACCACCAACCAGTTGTTTTCTTCAGATCTTCGATGCTTTCCGCCGAAAAAAGGCCTGAATGATCATGAAATTCTCCCAATCGACGTAAAAAGGCCTGAATGATCATGAAATTCTCCCAATCGACGTGTCAATACCAGGCCCCAGGACGTATCCACGTCCCAGCACCTTGGCTCAGCATTGAAGGGGAACAACGGGGATCAACTACTACTAGGTCTTTCGGGTGTTTTTCCATGGTTATTCCCCTAGTGAATGCTTGTTTCCCCTACAATTTCGTGGTTCCCTCCTAACTTTTCGGATTTTGGTTCCTAAAAATTTTCGGACATGAAATCGGACTTCTACTACTGTAGCTAATCTATTGGGGATTATGATATAACACCTATAGTGAGGACAAAGCCAAATGGTGCCTATTCAACTCGTTGGTCGTTTTTTTCGAGTCAGAATCTCACCCGCTGAATGACACTTTGGGGATCTTTTGTGTACCCCACCATCGATATAGAGTGATATAGATATAGACTTAGATGACTTGGGATCAGTAAATTTCTACTGGGAAATTGGGAATCTAGAACCACCCCCTTGCACCTTCCTTGGTATTCCGCCATTATTGGCGTGCCGGCGTGCTGGTGGATCAACATAGGTCCGCATCCAGCTAGCGCAGCGACGCCGACGAAGTCGACCGCGCCGCGGGCAGTGGCGCTGCCCATGGCGTTGATACCTAGACCACAAGTGCTGGAGGCACTGGGCTTGGAGGATCCCGGGGCTCAATGAATACCCTGGATTCAACAAACCATGGAAAAGCCATGGAAAAGCCATGGCTTCCTGTTCAGAAGCTGATTTTCTAAATGGTGTTTCACATCTACGGTAGTTTACAGGAAGGTAATTGGTGTGTGTGTGTGTTTATGTACATATATATCCCAGTAACTTTTTGTTTTATGTGAAATTTCCGGGGGCAGTGGCTTCAACTATCTTTGCCTGGGGTCATATATTCCATCTGTAATTGGGGTGCAGAATAAAGTAATATAAAGTCCCAAGTATCTTCACCGGGCAGAATCGGTTGATGGTTGGTGAATGGGTGATGCATCGTTTTTTGAAGTATATCATACGACCTCCTATTTAAGATTAAGATCTTGCTTGTTTCAATGAGTAAGGTTAGCCATGGGCCCATGAAGTTAGAAGCTGTTTGTCAAAGGTGACCACTAACAGACTAACAGCTGGAGATATCATGATATTTGCATGTGGGGTCCCAGTTTGCCAACCAAGAAAATCAGATTTCATGATTTAGGGATAGTTGGGTCATTCCAGTAGCGTGGCTGGGCATTTTCGGGCCACGTGTGATGATCTAGTTAAATCAGACAGAATTGATGAGACTTGATCCACTTGACCTTCGGTGGCTCCTCTTTTTTCACCATTAGATCCCACTAAATCACCATGAAAAATCACCATTCATCACCAGTTTACCGGCCATTTATAGTTCCCACAAATATCTGACCTTCGATCCTTCCACCTTTGGTCAAATGTGGTCAAACCTGGCTGGATAATCCACCATTTTTTCATATTTTTCCATCAATAAAAAGCTCCATGATCCTCTACTTAATTATGATATTTATATATATTTATATATTGATTTGGAACCATGGAATTTTGAATGACTTTCCCATCATCTTGGGAATGTCATAAAATCCCAACTGACTTTCACTCACTCCATCATTTTTCAGAGGGGTAGGTGGCTCAACCACCAACCAGATTATTATTAACCATCATTAACCATATAATAACCATTAATATTAACCATCATTAACAGTATATTAACCATAGATTAACCATTATTAACAGTATATTAACCACAATGGTAGGTTTTTCCCACCAACCACCAACCAGTATATAGTTCAGGGATGTCCCAGCCGTGTCGCGCAGACCCTTTGGGCCTGTCCGACAGACCAGGTCTTACAGCTCGAGAGCGACGTCTCGAAGCCTTTGGAGTGGCGCCCTGATGCCATTTTCGTCGATGGAAACGACAACTTGTGGAATCAATATCCCATAGGATCCATGTATGGTATATCTGCTAACATTGGGGGTATATTGATGGTAAATGTTACCATATATAGCATACATGGATCCGATGGGTATATGGATAATATGATGAATATTCACCGTGCAACTATGGAATATGACTTTTTTCCATTAAAAAATAAACAACATATGGAATTATCATGAATTATCCACAATTCTCAGTGAATAGTTGACTAATATGACTAATATGACTCAATATTCACTGATTGTGGATAAATGATGAATCTTGTCTGGGTAAATTATAACGACCTCACTACGACCTCACTGGAATCATGGTTAGTAAGGGAAATCATCCCCAAAGGGCCTTAATTCAGGTTAGTGAAATATTGTAATTTACTCAGATCTTGTGGAGAATTCACATATGAATGTGGTGGAATCCTGAGTTGGGATGGTTGACCTATGTTGATCATGGTGGCTTTTTCAACCACCAAGCCAGGAGGGAAGGTTTCCGAGGGAAGGCAAGGGGATGAGTTACTACATCTTCGACCATTGATGTAGGTGGTGTTTAATGGGATGGATGGGATTATGAACTACAGTTATGATTACTATATATACGTATATATATATTGATGATCATACCATACCTTTAATTACCATTATATTACTATTAATATGGGTAGTACCATTATTTCCTAAACTATAAGACTATCATAAACTACTAATCATTAAAAAATCCAACCGATGGTCACTAACCACTATTATACTGAACTACTATTACTAGCCATCCCAGGTCACTTCATTGGGTGGGAGCAGAGTTACCTTTGCTGGGGAGCGACGCCAGGCGCGGCAATGGTGAACATGCCCAAGTTGTACGTATTTTTTTTGTAACACCCAAAAAGATTCTAAAATCCCATTGAAATAGTGGTAAATCACGATTTTCTACCTTTTTGGGGGATCACATTTGTGGTATTTCAAATATGGCATGTCCATGTGGAAAAAGATGACCCAAAGCAGTGCAGTGCACTGCTTTCACTCGGTGCAAAACGGGCACCGAGTCATAGCTGAGTCCCAGTAACATCCACATCCAGTAGCTGCGGTACGTGAAAAACCCTCAACGTTGACAGTTTACGAACTGGAAAGATCCACCATAGCGAAAAAAGCTGGGTAAATCAACTAGCAATGGAAATGTGAAAAATAGCTATGTGAATGTTTACCAGAGGGTAGCCCCAAGAATATACCCAACCGATGTGATTTCCGTGGCTTGCTGGACAAAAAATCCCCATGTCGTTGAATGATTTTGCGAAGTAAACCTCCATTGTCCTCCATGATCGTGAATTTCCCAGCCATGTTTGATGGTAACCATGGATTGGATCCACTTCAAGTCACTTCCTGGTTGGTGGTTTGGAACATGAATGCTATTTTCCCATATCTTGGGAATTTCATCATCCTAACTGACTTTCACTCCATCATTTTTCAGAGGGGTAGGTAGGTATACCACCAACCAGATTATATGTCCAACCAGCCACATTCTATGCCCGATACCCTAGTTTTTTGTTATCCGAAAGCCAGGTTTGCCTTGAACTCCCTGGAGTCCTTGTTGCACGTCACAGCCAAAGCTGGGAGGGGAACAAGTGGCCTGAAGGCCAGCGAAGCGCCAGCCAGCCGTTCCAGGGTCTAGTGGGTGTCATATTGGGAATTTCATCATCCCAACTGACGAACTCATATTTGTCAGAGGGGTGGCTCAACCATCAACCAGCTAAAAAGGGTGAAGATCATGGGAAAATCCGTGGGGACTTCCACGAAGCAAATCGAGCTTCTTCTGAGTCGGTGGAACATGGAAAATCCACCATGACTGGGGAATCGATGAGGGGAACATGTTGGAACCCCTCAATCCCTGGGGTATCAATGGACCCACAAGTTCGTGGTTGTTTGATATCTTCGAACCACCCATCTGTGGATGGATTTGATTCAATACCCGATGGATTTGATTCTGGGATGGTGCACCTCACTGCTAAATGTAATTACAAACAATCATGCATGTATCCTCACCTAAATTCGGGTCTCAATCTTCGAATCCATCAAGTTGTTTTTTTTCAGAACACACAAAACTGGTTGGTGGTTTGGAACATATTTTTGTCCATATATATTGGGAAGAATCATCCCAACTGACTTTCGTATTTTTCAGAGGGGTAGGTATACCACCAACCAGAAAAGCATCCCATTTTTTTGAATCAAATCCAATCTTGGTGTCGTGTTTTGAAGAACTTTTGGGTTCATCAAAACCAACTAATTGGGGTTAACAAAGAATCAGCTGGAGAATTGTCCTTGTCCTTGAAACCCAGCAGCTTCGTAAGTTCCCACGGAAACAATCCACATGTGGGTTTCAAGAAATGCAAGTCATTGGATTGGTTTAAGGAACATGTTGCAGAAAACCTCTAAACAATGATGGTCAACACCATGATTTCCAGTTTCCAGTTTTTCCCTTTTACCAATCCAATGATAGAGAAATATAGATAAATCAACAAATATCATTTAAGTTGCCATTCCCCATTTTTATCCCCAATATGAATCACCATGTTTTTTTCAAAAAACCATGAAAATCACCACATGAAATCACCAGTCTTCCTCAGCGGGTGTGAACTGTCCGTTTCCGCAGGTGGTTGTTCGCCCCGGCGACCGTACGGGGGCAAGGCACGCGTGTCTGGAGTTGCTGAAACAGGAGCTACCGAGGTGCGGAGTCATGGAGATACCCCGCTGGATGGTACAGTTATGGCCCGAAATACCAGTTATAAGTACTAACAAGTCACCCCATTTATAGAATGTATAATCCTATCTATAACCAGTTATAACTAATAAATGGCCATAACTGTAGGGAAAAGCCATCTATGAATGGATGATGAAATGGGCTAGCCCTATTTTAGGAAACCTCCTAATATGTGGGCCTGGTTTTGTAAGATTTAGTGAATGGAATAATCGGATACCTTCAATTTAACAGTTTGCCATGGGAGGATCCACTATTTTTAATAGGTAAATCATCTATGAATGGGCCATTTTCCATTGCTATGGTGAATTACCGGAGGGTATTACACATTACAAACGATGGGAACAAACATGTACATATATATATATATATTATCTGGGTAAATTATAACGACCTCACTGCGACCTCACTGGAATCATGGTTAGTAAGGGGAATCATCCCCAAATGGCCTTAATTCAGGTTAGTGAAATATTATAATTTGCCTATATATATATATATATTTATGATATTTGATTGAAATTGGATAATGTGGGAATCATCCCATATATATATATATATATACACGTACTTGTGATAGAATAGGAAACAATTACGGGCGTGGGGTTAGAGGAGCATCCAGGATTTTAAACAACACAAATGCGGTTTTCATTAAGCATTGGAATTGGTGGTTCCCCTTTTGTGAGACATACTCGCTGATATAGTTGGCAGCACGGAATTCCCCATGTCAATCCTCAGGGATTCTTGTGCTACCTTGGTTTTTCTCATTTGATAGTTATACGGAAGAAGGAATTCACCACTGCATCGCCATGGTATTTTTTTGAAGTTGAGCTGGCTGGGGTTGGGCACAAGAAACAGATCCTTGCCTTAAGGACAACCAGAAACTGAGCAGGCAGTTGACGCGCTGCATATCAGCCACACAACGAGTGCTTACCGTAAGTGAGCGCTTCTTAAGATTTGGTTACCTCAAAACTCAAAACCATGGTTTTCTTCCAATTCAAAGTGACCAATGTTATCCAATGTTCATCAATGTTGAATGATGTTGGGATCCCAAGAATGGTCCCTCTCCACGAGGTCGCACAAGGGCTACGAAGAACATGTCAAGGACGGGAGCTCTGTCGGATGGTGCTTAGTCCATGGGAAGGCCACCCATGATGGTTCCGGAAATCTCCGGACGTTGACATTTTCACCTAGGTTGAAGTAGCAAGGCTCATTACAAAATGAATCAGATTCCATTTGATATCATTTGATGTTTCCAAAGCAAGCACGTTTTTTGATGTTTTTTGTATTAATGAATGATGTCCATTGCCACTTTTATGTGCTATGGTTTTTTCTGAAGCTTTTTGATCTAAGTGTTGATTCCTGTTTCTGGCTCCAATCCCTTTCCCGTGGTCTAAACTGGAGCGCCCTGTTGACATGGTCACTACAGTCCTGACATTTGTTTCTTTTATCCCAGGAGCTCCGGCATCCACGGGTTTCCCTTGATACCTGGATAAGATTGACACCCTCTGAATGTTTGACCCGTATCTTCGCCATTAGACATCATTAGACTATGAGTTTCCCTTGTTTGTGGCCAACTCTATGCTATGGCTAGGTATTGGTGATTGTAGAATCCATGATCATAAACCACACCATTTCCGAAGCTGGTTTAAACCCACACAGCCACACGCGCTTCTGGTTTGTAATTATCTCTTCTTGTCTCCATGTTTTGCCCTGTGGTAGACTTCAGTATCTGGTATATCTGGTACTGGAAGTGTGTCCCGTTTATAGATCATTGTCCCAGGTCACAGCGATTGTTCCGGTGACCATCTTCCGAAACGGCTCATGACCGGCCCCTGAATCCCTGGTTGAGATTTCAACTTCACGTCATTACCCTTCGATAATTTAACGTAGCTATGGAAACTCCCAATTTGTAAATATATGTTTCATAAATTATCATAATAGTCATCGTTTTCTATGTTCCATCCATTCCATGGCAAACTCTCGACATGGCTTGCTGAAAAACGGTCCAACTGTATCGATGTTTCCCCATTTTTCCCGTTTTCCCCATCATAAACCAGCATATTTCTGGAGGAATTCCCAGCTCGCACAGGCTCCGATATCCCATAAATGCATATAAATGCAGGAAGGTAAACTAAGATATTCACCACTTGAAGGATAAAACTCATGGAGGATGTGGGATAATTTGGATAAACTATAGATCTTTTGACCACTTCAGGCGCATCATTTTGGGTCAAAATGTTGGCATTTTGGACTTGGGAAACCCGAAAAAAAACTGGGTGTTTCACCTCCAATGGATCCAGGATTGCCACGCCTCGGATTGGCACTTCGCCCTCTCCACGCCTTCCGGGCTCTGCGTCAGCAGCACCGAAGCTGCTGGGATCTTCCGCTTTGCCAGCACCCTGCGGCAGATGATGCACCAAGGCCGAGAAGATGGGGCTTCGTTGGATGTAGGGAGGTCAAGCTGCCCCAAAACTATGGAGAAATCTGATGTTTTTTGGTGGACATGAATGGAAGTGATAAAAAAGGACTCCATGATCGTCGCGAATAGATGAATTATCGGGAAATTCTGAAGAAATAGGATGATTATCAATGGGATTATATGATATTATATGGGGAATATATGGCGAAGAATGGAATTGTAAAGGATAAAAATGGTGATTTTGGTGATGGTAATAGGTTGTTTTTCGGGGTACGGAGGTGTCCGTTTTGTCTTTGGGGGGTACCCCCAAATCATTTAACTCATTAGACCACTTTAGTATTGAAACGCCGGGGGTGACTTGGGGATCCATTTCAAGACACCTGCATAGGGGGAATGTTGGAAGTTACCAATACTAGCTGTGACATGCTGTGACTGTAATCAGGTGAGGTTGGAAGTTGATAGAGAACAGAATGTTGATGGTTTGAAGGTATGAGATGGTTCGAGACGTTGAAATAGCAAGAAGAATAAGGTGACTTTATCAACCATGGCAAGGATACCCTCTGGTAATCACACGTGACAATGGGACATCCCCTATAAACAGAGTGTTTAATGGGAAATCATCTATAAATGGTGGATTTTTATATGGCACGTTTGATTACCAGAGGTATCTTGGCAATTTGATGAGTTATATCATTATCTCATAAAATAATATACTGGTTGGTGGTTTGGAACATGAATTTTATTTTCCCCAACCAGATTGGGGATGATGATCCAATCAGACCATATAACATGTTTCAAGGGGTAGGTCAACCACCAACCAGATATGTTTCTATCATTAATAACAATTAATAACCATTAATAACCATTAATAACCATTAATAACCATTAATAACCAATAACCAATAAAATGTCCCATGAAATCCCATGGAGTCCAGTTGATTAATCCCATTGAATCCCGACAAAACAAACAGCCCGACATTTCGAGACTCGACCAGGTGTGACGGCCTTCGCCAGCGATTTGCCACACTTCATCCTGGAGGAGATCGGGAGTGAAAAATCAATGGCGACACTTTGGGGGGTTTCCTTAAAGTCATGGAGGTACCCAAAAATGGATATCATGACTAGGTTTTTGTAGGGGAAGTTCCCATCTAGATGGTTTTTGGATGGGTTTTTTGTAGGGGAAATTCCCATCTAGAAATGAATGATTTGGGGAAAAACCCCCATTGATGTATAGAGGAACCCAACAAAAAAGTAATAGGAACATGTTTCCAGGATGGTTGTTCGATGATATTTACCTCATTCTCCTAGGTGTCCAACTGTTTTGCTCTGGGGGTTGCTATAGCCGTACCGGTTTGCTACAAATGTTTGAATATCATACCGAGCCAAAAGAACATATTTAAAAGCAAAACATGTACTGGAGTTGTCTTTTTTTTGGCGCAGGATATATAATGCTGTTCATCATTATGACTATCCCTAAGATTGGTTGAAGCTATCATTATTCATCATTATGACTATCCCGTTGCTACAATAAATTATAGTAATTATTATTATCCATCATTATTCGTTAAAATTTGGTTAAAGTTTATTGTCATGTTGGTAAATTTTAATTAACCATATTATAGTCTTGTTATCCAAACAAAATTACAATGACTATCATTATTCATCATTTTGACTATCCCTATTATTATCCATCACATCATTGTGGCCTATTATGACTATCATAATGTTTGGTTACCCTCTGGTAAACATACAAAAAACTATAGAAAATCACCATGCTATTAATGGGTAAATCCACTATTAATTTCTATGGCCATTTTCAATAGCTTTTTGTATGTCATTACCAGAGGATAAATCCCATATCATCCTATTTTTCACCATTGTTAAACCATGAAAAATCACCATTGATAGTTGTTAAATCACCATTTTCCTATGGTTTTATAGTTACCAGAGGCTAAAGTTTACACATCCCCAGCCATCCCACCACATTGTATCAGGACTGGCCGCGCTTTTGCTGGCGTGGCCTTCAGTTGGACGCAGTGAGGCACTTCATGCCCGTCAGCTTCGTGATGCTCGGTTTGCTCGGCGCGGAAACCACCTGGTTTCACAAAAGGGATGATGGGTTGAGGATCTGTTTGGGATGGGTTAAAAGATGTTAAAAGATGTTAAAAGATGTGAAAACCACCAAGCAGAACATGTTTATAAATGTTATAAGTAGAAGAATCTCTAGCATGCAGTATATTCATAGTGGTCTATAGATGATAGTCGTCTATAAATGTTTCTAAGATTAGTAAGCCATTGTTTTGGCATGTTTCAGCCCATTTGCACTTGGGGGTATCTTCTCTACTTTTGAGGAGCCTTGAACTTAGAGGGGGTATAACATTGCTATAACATAGGTTATAAGGGCTTTAACTTCGGTTATAAGGCTCGTAAGTTCATCGTAAGTTCAAGTAAAAATTTGTTAGTTATAAGAGGTCGGATGTGTTGAATTTGCGCGCGGCACCTACCTGCGCATCTCTCAAACTACTTCGGTTGAAGTGCATGGCTGCGTTGCTTCTGCGCAGTGTTTTTTTTTGCTGGTTTAACCACTCCATTGGCATAGTGCATCAGACCATCGCTTTCCTAAGTGGAAAAGAGAAGATGGCAAATTGGCCCTGATGCCGCTGCACAAGCTGAAAGGCCAAGAGCCTTCTCGCTTAATTCGAGAAGACGCATCCGGAGTCTGGCTCCTTTGATAATTTCCGCGCTGCCCAGTCTCGCAGAACCATTCCACTTCACTCGCTCTGCTCGAGAAAAAATGCTGGGACATGCGTGGGTCAACTATAGCCAAAGATACAATCATATTCACACATCCTTCAAAAAAAACTTCGGAATCATTAAAAAAACCATGAAATAATAACACCGTCTTTAAAAAACATACTAAAACTTATGATGAACTTACGATGAACTTACGATGGACTTAACATAGCATCTAGATAACTTCTTTATAAGTTCTTGCTAAGTAACATAAGTTCAAGATTCCTCCAAACTAAGAACTCGGTGACGTATCAACCCCGAACATCCCATGGGATCGGGCAATCTGCGTTTTCTATGATAAAATGCTACCGTGTACCAGCTAAAAATGAGGTTGTTTGGCAGGTATCTAAGATTTACCATGTTTATGGCAGTTTATGGGTTGCTTTTCGATTTGTTTGGAAGAGAGAGTGCATAGCCAGCTGTTTCTGTAGGTACCAGTACCATGGTTCTGGTCGTTCTGCCCAAGCTTATCTTGGAGGATATCCAAAGATCTATGACGACCTTTCCACAGCAACCTTTTCCGAAAAGAAAAAAAAACTAAAAAAATTGAAGAGTTGCATAGAGTTACCTTTTGCTCATCCTTGTTTAGGTGTTTATTTCCAAACATCGACACATTCACGTCAATTGCCGCAGGAATGTCTCCCAGCAGATTTCTTAAGGTTGGAAGCAAAAAAGTTGACCGTTTCATGGCCTAAAAATGGGGTTGCCAGAGACCCCTGAAAACTTGGGGCTTTGAAAATTTGCAGACACACAGCAGCTCGTGATTATCTTGTTGTTTGCCTGTTGAAATAGGTTTTGTTTTGGTTGCTGTAAATATATATTGCTGGTGAACACCATTTTGCCGAGCACATCCTTGCAAGTAGTCCATCAATTCAATTGAGGAAGCGGTATATCGAGGAAATGGCTGCGTACAAGGCTGGATTGGTTTGAGGGTTTCACTGCAACGACTTGCAGTGATTATGGAACCAAGCACTGAAAGGAAGGAGTAAACGACAAGATGGGGTGCTAGAAACTTGCGTGAAACTGGCAGTCAAAATGAAGGTTTTGGGGGACCACAGACTTTGATCGAGTAATAAACGATGGTGGTTACGAAGGCCCCTGATGTCTTTTGGCATTCGTGACTTCATGGTGGTTCCCAGCCGTGGGGATCATTGCAATTTATACACAACCATTAGAAAATCAAGCAGTAAACTATTTCCTGCTAGGGATAGTGTAAATCTATACACAAACATTAGAAGTTCAACCAACTTGGCAGGGGACTGCCCATGGGACAATGGGAGCATGAACAGACATCCATGACCATTTTTTTTGTGGCGACCCTGGGGTAAGTGACCAGACCATATCCATGATTTTTTAACATACCACCTAAAGATATAGTTGGTATGTATATATTATAACATTTAAACATATTATATATATATATTATTATATATATATATATATTAAACATATAAGATCATCCCGAGTGTTGCCAAGACTCAATGAACGCTGTGTTTCGCCCATGAGTTCATGGTCTATCCGGAGGTAACTTTCGTTAGCTGTGGGCCCCCAATTCTGAGCTATCTTGGAATAGCAAACTCAGATCCCAACTATACTATAGTTGGTATATATATAGTATCCAAAATTTAAATGGCATACCCCAACTATTGAACCATTGGTATCCTAAATATACCTAGTTGGTATAGTTTTGGGGTATCCCAACTATTGAATGGCCATTGGTATCCAAAATCTAAGATATCTAAGCTATTTTGGACCCAAGCCCAATTCCCATGCCTCAGGCGAATTTCTTCCATTGGCATCTCACAGATGATCAGTCTTGGCGCTTGCCGCTTGGCATCCATCCTGGGAACACTGGGACCCAGCTGACTTTCCACATTTCTTGCGCTCAAAATTGCTTGGTTTCAGGGTCTAAATTCTTAAGCGACATAGACCATGAAAACTGTCCGTCCCAATGTCGGGTTTCTGAACAGACTCCCAACTCATGGGCGGATTTGATATTTATGTATCACAGAGTTGCATGATGGGAACATTGTCAAGGAAAGCCCTATATTTGATGGTAACAACCATGGTTTCCGGCTAAGATTTTCCCAAGAAAACCACTTCATTGATCTTTTAAAATTCATTAAAACCCAGTAAAATCCATTAAAACCCAGTAAAATCCATTGAACCCCAATTAAATGGTGGGTTTATGGCATTGTTTTAACCACATTAGTATATTATCCCATCTGGTTCATGAAACCAGGGTCTCTCACATTGACCCATTGGTGGTCCATAAAGCCACCAGATCAGCTATGAATCTAGCTACGAACCTAGCAAAAATAAATCGTCATCTAATCTTTGGTTGAAGAAAATCATGTTTAGCTATATATAAATGAATCTTCATCTGATTTGCTTGGTTGATCTAAATCTACCATGGTATAGATGGCCCATAGAAATAGATGGTTTTCCCAGCGACATCAACCTCCATTTATTTCAGGGATTTTCCATGGCGAACTGTTAGTCATAACCAGAGGGTACCCCCACCCAACCATCCCAAAGATACCCTCTGGTGAACTAACATAACTATTGAAAATGACCATTCATAGTTGATTTTCCCATTAAAAATAGTGCACCAAACCTCCATCTGAATCAGTATCAGGTTCCTCCGTAGCCGCCCGAAGCTGGTGAAGAGTTCCATGGCCAGTCCTGAGAGCTACTCCGAAGACGACGTGCAACAGGTGGAGCCGCTGTACGCCGTCATGGCGTAGCCGTAGCCCACTGTTGCTGGATGGTTTTTGTTGGTTGATTTCATGGAAAATCCCATGAAAACATGGAGGATTTCATTGAGCCGATGAATTTTATGGAGGATAACTGGGGGTAGCCCGTATGTTTTTCAGAAACCTTCCATATGACATGGGGAAGATTCCATGAGATTCCCAACAAAAGTGATCTCCGATGTCTTTTCAGAAAAGACAAAATGTCGGAATGATTAGTAGGCTATCTCTACTGAATTATGTCTATTTCCAGGATGTTCAGTATTTCAAAATGGGAGTACCCTCTGGTAAACGTTGACACAAATATGGAAAATCACAATTTTTAATGGGTAAATCCACTATTTCTATGGTCATTTTCAATAGCTTTTTGTCTGTTTACCAGGCCGGGTATCCCATCTACCAGCCGCGAACGCTATCGTTTTGCCGATAGAGTTATAGATCATTCGAAGTGCACCATACATGGTGCAGATATTCAGTGATCATTGGGGCGCACCATGTTGTGGGGAAGCCCCGCAATTGATGAAAAAAACCAGCGTTTGATATTTTTATTGGGGCTGATGATTACAATTGGGAAAAAATGCGGATATATTGGAATAGAAATAGATAGAACTGGATATATTATTGTTACAATTTAATCATTAGAATCATTAGACAATGACACTTAATATGCTCATCATACCTGCAAGAAACTAGGGTAAATACGAACACATTATGAATGGTCAAAGTATATAATGTCAGCCGTTTTAAATAGTCTATGATGGTCAATTAGATCAGGGTAGATTCTGCGATCTGCATCTGGGACCGTTCAATTCAATTAATCTTAGCCGGTTTAAGTCGCGATACAATTTTTATCGGGGTAAATCATGGTAGTTTTCTACATCTGCGAATTGATCAATACCCCTGTTGATTGACACCGAATCATGGGGGTATCCTCCACAAGTCCCTAGCAGCCAATCAGGTTGTTGGAGGTGTGTGTTTTTCTTCACCAAAATCTATGGTTAGAACTATCAACAAACATCCCAGTTATCCTACAATTCGGAACCACCTTACCTATCATCGGATGAGAAAAATCACAACATTTTTCTCAGTGAAGTCCCCCTTTTTCGCGAGATCAATCTGATCGTTTCACGTGGTTCACATGATCCAGAAATTGGCGGGTTTCTCATAGTGAGGGATGGTCATCAATCCGCTAATAGGGATTTATCTGGCTAAATTATAACAACCTCACTGGAATGATGGTTAGTAGTGGCAACTATCCCAACATGGCCTTATTTCAGTTATGTGAATTATTCTAATTTGCCCAGTATATAGCCATTATGTATTCTCACTATAGGATGGATGACCATTGACCATAATTCATATTGGTGGTTCCCCATTATGTTCTCATCCCATTATTGTTGCTTAAATCGGGCATTATTTACCATGTAACTTGACCATCGCTCATACAAATAGTGATACAATCGATACACTTCATATTAGTTTTTATATATCATATTATCCGAGTATTGTATATATTAATATATATATATATTAATGTATATATATACATATAATCATATATATAGCCCATTATTGTTTATTACATCTGCCATGAAAATAAACGCATGGCTTGACCCAGGAAATCTCCACCCAGCAGGTCCTTTCCTTCGCCCGGGAACACTTCGTCACCGTGATACCTGTGATCGAGACGCCTGGCCACATCCTGGCCGCGCTGGCGGCTTATCCAGAGCCACTTGGGCCGACATATGGGACCTGGCCCATGGTGATGTGGGGATGGGGTCGAAACTTATAAAATGGCCATATTTTAAGATTTTTGTATGGGATAAACATCCATAAACCATCTATTCACCTGTACCAGGTACATTTTGACTCATGCATGTCACCATGTCAGTGAGATGAACTCACCATTTTTTTTGGGTGGGATCCAAGAGGTAAATCACCTAAATGGGCCATGGTTTCCATAGCTATATTAAATTGCCACATGGTATGTCCACCTTTTTAAAAAAATGGATCTTTGGGAATGGTTGATGATGTTGGAATGTATTATGAAACTGAAAAAAAAAAAACGAAATGTCGGCTCTCCCGCCCAGGTTGGCCTGCAAAGGGAAGCATTTCGAGATGCCCAAGCAACGACGCTTGGCGCCGTTTCCAGCAGCATCTGATGTGGTTTTGATCCCATATGGCGGTTTCCTAAGCCATGGGGTACCCCCAGTTATCATCCATTTTTTCATCGGATTTTCCATTCCTAAGCCATTGGGGTACAACAAGTCATCAATTTTTTTGAGGATTTTCCGTGAAAAAAACAATCCAGCTATTGGGGTGCCCCCATGATTTTGAAACAGTGAGAGCACCGGCCAGGAGTGGGAACCTACACCGACATCCTGTGCGTGGGCAAGGCAGGGAATTTTGGGGACACATTCGAAGAAACGACGTACCGTCAGGCGTTTTTTTGTGGGAAAAGCATGGTGAATGGTTTGATATCTTATGATGAATCAGTTTGATGAATCAGTTTGATGAATCCATTCATATGAAAACAACACTGGTTGGTGGTTTGGAACATGATTTTTATGACTTTCCATATATATTGGGAATGTCATCATCCCAACTGACTTTCACTCCATCATGTTTCAGAGTGGTTTGCTCAACCACCAACCAGTAAGGATACCCTCTGGTAAACGTTTACATAACCATGGAAAATCACCATTTTATAGCTGGGTAAATCCACTATTTCTATGGCCATTTTCAATAGCAAACTGTTAAATTACCAGGTAAATCCCATTAGATCACCATTAAACCACCATAAAATAACAATGGAAAATCACCATTTGTTAATGGGAACATATCAAAACATCTGAGATTTTGCACTTCTGGAGGGGCCTTGCATGGCGGCCAATCAATCCCTTCGACGGTCCCATGATCCGGAAAATTGGGAGCTAGAGCGGTATGTCATCCCTGTGAAATTCACTCAGGATATAATGAAAACATATGAAAACCACCGCTTTATTTGGGGGAAAACATGGGAAAACATCAGAAAACATGCGAAAACATGGGAAAACATGCGAAAACATGGGAAAACATGAGAAAACATGGGAAAACATCATTAAATTCAAACCAACAGTCAGGGTTTATTGATCCCTTTTTGACATGGATGATCCTAATATGTGAGTTGCACATAGCTAAAATTGTCGGGCCCTGAAATTTGTTGACCTACAGCGTACATGAGTTCATTCATGCCTGACTCTGACTGATTTGCTTCCGCATTTCGAAACATGTCAAGATTTAAAGGAAGTCTTCAACTTCCCTCAATTTCCCATCGAAATTCATCGAACTTCACCAATTTCATGGTTCCATTCTAAAAATTGCATCATCCACAGAGTTCCGAAATCCACAATTTGATGGTCGTTTTTGATGGTGAAATCCCCCATGTGTCCACCTTCCAAGCTGAAAAATCCACCATTAAAATCCGAGTCAAATCCGTCAGATCCACGGTGGTTTCCCCCATCTGCCCGGACCAGGCGACCACCTTCGAGTTCGCCAAGGACGTCTTCACGGACGTGGCCAGGCTCTTTCCTTCCAGGCGGAGGGGGTTGGGACACCGCCATGAAAAATACCCTGGTTGAATCCGGTTGAGAATGATATACGTCTCGGTGAGATATCCAGATTAAATATATCCATCCCCAATACCTGGTGAATATAAGGTTATACTAGCGAATTGATTGGGGATTAGGATAACATATAGGAGGGACAACTATCAATCAACTGTTCATGAGATGGGATAGGGGTATGTTACATGACTCACATGGACAGTTCTCTGGGACAATTTGGGATGGGTCAGAAGCTATTACAATATTTTGGTGATTAAACATCCATTGACCAGACCCACAGCCAATTCCCAACTTCCGTAGATTTTCAAAAATTTTCAATTGGAGGTTTCCAAAGTCATGGGGGTGCCCTATGTATTGAAACAACCATGGTGACTTGGGGATCCCCCATTTTAAGAACCCCCCAAATTGGAAAGTTGGGAAAATGATTTTCCTACATGTCCTTGAAACGGTTTTATATTTGTGATGTATGAATATGTGGTTGTTTCAACCATAGACATGAGAAAATGATTGGTTTCATGTAGTTTCCCAACTTCCCAAGATGGGTTTTCCTATGTTTTCCTGCGCGATGGTTGGCAGTTTCATGATCCTAACGGTCCTAACGGACTAGCTGCTACCCCCATGTAACACCGGGGTGGAAAAAAACCACCACAGGTGTAAGACCCTCGTTTGGAACGTTTAAAAGGCGAAGTTTGCCGGGGAAATGAGCCTTGTGTTTTTTATCGTTGCCGTATGAAGCCAAGAAATACCAGGATACCCGGCCTGGTAAACGTTTACATAGCTGTGGAAAGATCCACCATTTTTGATAGGTAAATCAACTATTTCTATGGGCCATTTGCAATAGCTACGCTAAATTACCGGAGAGTAAGAGATTCTGATTTTACATGGCAATTCGAGTGGAATTTCTTGAAGCGTAAGTCTTTTTTGTGTGGTCTCCCAGAGTGGGAAATCCAGGACATTGCCACGAATGAGTTGTAGAAGGATCTGATGAGAAACAATTTTTTTTTCAAATACATGAAAATAGCCCAACGTAAGCGATTGTAGCTACACGCCTTTTGAACATGAAACAGCAAATCGGACAACGAATCAAAGTGGTGTGGTCGATTGAAATCTGTAGGCTCCGCTGAAAAATCAGATGGCCGTAGATTGGAGGTACGTCTGAATCTCCACGTTTTGTGTGTTCGTGGAGTATCCCTATGTTCTTTGAATCCCAATCGTCATTGATGACATATCCATAACATATCCCAAAATAGAATACAGCCAATGGATGGAAATATGATGGAATTCCAATCTTCATATCATATTGATATAATCATATGTCATGGGAGAATTATTTTTTATAATCCCCATGAAATTTCATAATCCCCACATATGTAATAGCTATTTCATATTTAATTCTATTTCATAATATTATAGCTATTATATTGGGGATTATATCATATTATTGGGGATTCAATATGTTTCATAATCATTATATAATAAATAGCTATAATCATTATATAATCAATAGCTATATAACAATCATTATACAATCATTATATCACTAATTATATTATTATAGCTATTATATTTCTATTGAATCCCCAATTGGTCCTATGTTTGCCATCACCAGGTGGATCCACGTGGGTGGCGATGAGGTGATCGTCGAGAAGTGGTGGATGAGCGACCACGTGAGGTTCCCGTTTCGCCGTTGATTTCGGGGCCGGCCGTTTCGGGGTGGGGCTGCGGGAGCTTCGGAAGGGTCGCAGTTCACCAGGAGTTCACCCAGGAACCAAGGCAAACAGCAATAGAATTGGCCAAAAATGAAGAATTGGCCCAGTCGAAATAGTGGATTTAGCCATGAAAAATAGTGGATTTTCCATCGCAAACTGTTAGTTTCCAGAGGGTAGGGAACGTGAACTGCTAACACTGCTAAAGATCTCTCACCGATGGGAAATCAATGGAATCACCACCAGATCCCTTGGATTCAACTTCTGGATGTCCGGCAGGCGGGGTCCAGAGGAGAGCCTCTGGCTAACGGAATCCTATGGAAAATCAAGATGTTGTGGCTGAGATGTTGCATGTAAAATAAGCCATGATCCATGGCTATGTGAAATTGCCAGAGGATACCAGATTTTGAACACTGAGACCTATATCTATATCTGTATCTATATCTATATCTATCTCTATATCTATATCTGTATCTATATCTATATCTATATGTATGATAATTCTATACACGGAACATAGAACATATAATACATAGCCATGTTGAATTCCAGTCAGATCCTGCTCCGATCGACAGGGCCTTCGCTGGCATGGCTGGGTTGCGGAACATCCCTGTGGACATGATGGATGCTGGACCGAAAAAAAGACGGGCGGTGACGCAACGGGCGGTGGCCGAACGGGCGAACGGATCCTGGCTGAATCCTGCCACTATCATTGGAATACTTATGGTACATTAATGTGTATAGAATAGGAAGGTCATGCTATGGCATTCATAATATTATGTGATGTTCAATTGTTTATAACTATCATGGAATGGTTTTTATATAGCAGTAATACTGACAGGAATAAGACCAATGATGATAGCAGTAAGAATGTTAATGGTATGGTACGGACAATGGTAGCTAATGTCATGGAGTAAACTGATAGTAAAACAAATACTAGTAGTCAATATGTAATACAATAATGGTAATATGAATATATCATGATGATAGTAATCAATGTTCCTGAATCATTGATAGTAATCCCTTCTTCCTATTACTAAAACTTCCCCAAATGAAAAAAATAGGATTGGAGTGGCACTGCCGGTTTTTTTGGTTGGGCACAATTCGATTCTTAATTGTGGTAATTGAGAATCGATAGGAGAACAGGATGGTGAAACAATGGGTTCAACCCCCTATTAATAAAAATAGATTGCCACCTGGAGGCTTTTTTATTAGGGTCCCATCTCACATGTTTTTCATTATTATCATTAAGGTTTTCATTGGAATATTAGGGGAAAGCTTCGAAACCCAGTTTGCGGCAATATGTTATTTAGATTTTAATCAGGGATTTAATCAAATTTAAAATCGAGTTTTTATATGTTTATTATAAATATTAGATATTATTAGGATATTAGAGTTCTTCATTGGAATATTAGGGGAAAGCTTCGAAATCCAGTTATTTTATTTAGATTTTAATCAGGGATTTAATCAAATTTAAAATCGAGTTTGTTTTATTTTTACTATTAGGGTGATTCATTGGAATATTAGGGGCACCCTAAAGCAAAATACCCCCTAGGAGGGGGGGGTTTTAGTAATAGGGAGAGAGGATTAATATGTAAGAAATACTAGAAACACATTCACAATTCATGGAAGATCATTGATGACTTGGATGGATTTTGCCCCATTTCAGACCTACGACCTGCCACCGACGCGTGCCTAGGAAGTCTGGTTCTGCGCTGTTGGGAGGATCTTGAAGGATTGACCCAGTTGGGACCACCGGCATGGCCTGCGGGCCCGGGGCTTCTATCCAATGGCAACATGGTTAGCGTTCCGAAAGAACATGATCTCAGCTTATGGGTTTCTTAACTTAAATGGGATATATATATATAATATATATATATATATATAGATGTAACACCAAGATTTTGCAGTTGTTGATCAATCTTGCTAGGGAACCCCTTCCACATTACATGGCAATGGTGGCAGGAGTTGGGCCGACAGCCGATCATGTGGGACGATCATTTCTCCCAGCGGCCACTTGGCGGAGAGCCGCTGGGATAGGGCTGGGCTGGGGATGATTTTGGTCCACCTGCCATGAAAACATGGTTATGTTGGGGATGGTTTCCGTTTTAACCACATTAATGAATTTCCGTTACCCTCCGGTAAACGTTTACATAACAGAAAATCACCATGCTATTAATGGGAAAATCCACTATTTCGACTGGGCCATTTTCAATAACTATGTTAGTTTACCAGAGGGGAACGTTTCATAACTGTTTGGGAGGCCAAAAACCATCCCAAAACCATGGCAGTAAGTAAGTGTCTGCTGAACTGAGCCAGGTTGACCGCGACGAAGCTGTGTCCCAACGCACATAAGGACACAGCTGCCCAGTGTTCACTGGTGGCGAATAAGATGTCCTTTTCCCAGTGGTTGGTTGATTGCCCTCTGGTAATTTAACGTAGCTATTGAAAATGACCATTAATAGTGGATTTTCCCATTTAAAATGGTGATTTTCCATAGTTATGTTAAATTACCAGAGGGTAATAGAAGGGTTTGAAGAAACCCCTTTAACAACAGGGAAATGATGATAGATGGGATTAACCAGCTCCCGGCCCCTCTATTTTTACCAAAAGGACATTATTGGGTGGCTATATATCATTTGTGAGTGAGGACCGAGTTTGTGTGCATCCAATTGCAGGTCCAAGGTTGACTGATCTATAGTTGAAGCATAGGTTTCGGACCGATGCACTGGTGTTCTATGGTTACAGTCTAAGTTACAGTATGCAGATTTTAGCCATATATGGAAGATCACCCAATAAATATCAACGCATATCAAAGCATAGAATCAGTCACTCACAGGTTATGTTTTGAAAGAAGTATCTATAGGATTAGCAATGAAAACTCCCCCGCCAGGATTGGGTCGTTCAAGCATGGAAGATGGACTATCCAGTGGGAAATACCACTGTGGCTCGTCCTGGGCTGGGGGTTATGGAGTGCAGGAATGATATCGACGTCACTAGAGGTTTGTCAACTGAGTCTGAAGAACCAAATATTGTATTATATCATACTATATATTTTTGTGTGTGTACACATTACATATGATCATATTACATATAATTACATATTATATATATATTGTATGTAATATACCAAACCTGAACAGAAACACGCCCAGAAGCTACCTTTGTGATCTCGTTTCTGATAGTTCCAGGCCGTGGCAGAGGATTTCCCCTTCGCATCCATCTCGTCTCCCATGAAGAGCGTGCAACTCGACCTGCGGAGCGGTAGCATGCGGTAGCTATGGTGAGGTACTTGGGGAACTGGTCGGATAACGGTTAGGTTCATGGCGGCTAGATTTTTTTCATAACTATGGGGATGTTTTAAGCTCCATAAGTTGTGATATACCCTCTGTGTATTTAACATAGCCATGGGACATGACCCATTTATAGATGGTTTACCTATTAAAAATGGTGATTTTCCATGGCTATGTGAAATAACCAGAGGGTACTGTAATTCCTAGAACTATGGTGAAATCTGAAGCACCCCTCGTGGAACTGCACCTTATCACGTGGGGTTTACGGTGATGTTGCAGATATCAACCAACAAGCTTCCAGTATATGTCTAGATATGAAGAACTTCCAGGGATCATGCGGACGTTGACCAACAAGATAGAACTAGATTTCAAATCAAGTGTTTACATATTTCTGTATCTGGAAGATATATATATATATAGATTTGCCTGTTTTTTTTGGGAGGTTTCCAGTCGTCATAGGGGAACCCTAGTGATCATACAGTTGTCATGGATACCCCTGTAGCCGTGCCGTGTCAGCGGATGGCCCAGGTACTTGGATTATCCCGTGGCTTCTATCGACTTCAATCGTTCCACACAGCTGCTGCCCCTGACTGGGCCTAGAATCTTAGGCGGGGCAGGGCTGAACGCTGGTGACAAGATATGACAAGCTAGGACAAGGGTAAAATTTGGTTGGCTGAAATGCTTTAAGAAATGGGATCTGATACATAATATATATATATATATGTATCTGGGATAGGATGCTTAAACTGCTTAAACGGATCTTTCCTCTGCCGGAAATGGATAGAAAATTCGCGATTCAAAGATGTGACTGAAACATCCCAGTTGCCCATCTTCTGGAGATGAGTCCCAGTGACGGAAGAGCCTCAGATTTTGTTGTCCCGCTAAGTCAAACTCGGGACTCCTGATATGTCTGGTTGGTGGTTTGGAACATGATTTCTATGACTTTCCATTTATTGGGAATGTCATAATCCCAACTGACGAACTCCATCATTTTTCAGAGGGGTAGGTATACCACCAGCCAGTATGTGTAGTGGCACTCTGCATTTGTGGTGTTCCTTTGGGTGCCTTCCCACAGTACAACCTTAGCTGCGCTTGCGCTGTGCAGGTGGTTGTGCAACCATGTGGACTGAGGATGCTTGTCTTTAGTCATGCTGCGGGTGGGATTGTGGAAGCTCGTGGGTCAGAGAGGTCAACGTTGCCGGGTCTTGGTCAGACCATTGAAAAGCCACAGGTCACTAATTGAGGCAGCCGGTCACAAAATCAGCTTGAAGGAATGTGCCCAGCATGATGTCAAAAAGCGCAACACAATCTGGAGATATGATACATTGGTTCCAATTCATCAATATCTATACAAACATGGCTCAAAAACAAGGAGCCAATAAAAATTGCACATGTGGCCGTTGCGTCCACTATTGAAAACTACGCAGGGTTTCCCAGGGTTTCCCAGTGACATGTTTGAATAGATTAGGTGCTCATGATATCCCCCAGTTTGGGTTAGGAGATCATATGGAGGTTTCCTAAGTCATGGGGTACCCCTAGTTATCATCCATGTTTTCATCGGATTTTCCATGTTCCATAAACCATCCAGCTATGGGGGTAGCCCCATTTATGGAAACCCATTATTAGCCATATATTAACCATATTAAGCATATATTAGCCATATATTAACCATATATTAGCCATATATTAGCAATTACTAACCATATATTAGCCATATATTAGCAATTAACCATATATTAGCCATTTATGGAAACCCCCCATCTGCTGCCAAAAAAATCCTTTGAGGACAGCGAACCGAAGGATGTCTTCACCAAAGTCTTTCCGCGCTTCATGGCCATCTCGGAACGTCTGTGGGGAGGCGGCAACCGGGCCGGTGCATGGCCAGCTTGGCCAATTTCAGAGCTTTGGATCCAGGGGAAATGCGGTGAATTCGAGAAAGACTATACTTCCTGGTAAATTTTCACATCGACCCTGAAAATGACCAGTTTTGCTAGTGGAAACTAGTCTGAACCAACCCCTATCTGGCAGGGTCTATGTTAATTTACTGGAGGGTATGTTTCTTGGAAACCACTTAGGGCTTTATGAGCTTAACCTTGAATGATATTGAATAATTGGATTGGCTATGATTGAATAATTAAAAATACTCGGCACTTTGCAACCCAGGATTTTTACTTACTGCACATCCAACTTCCAGAAAGTGATTCCTTTTTGGGTTGGAGCTTTGCTGGTGCCCAGTCACCCTTCTGGCGAACTGGCAAAAGATGCAAAAGATGTGGGTGAAAGTCACCCTGATTCGGGTGAAATCCACTCTTTTGCTGCCAAATCATGGTGCATCATCTAAAACCCCTTGAATTTTCATGGTAAAGGACAAGTTGTTGAGTGTTAAAATCCACATCTTCACCCTCAAAAGGATGGAAAAACCATGAATCACCATTTTCTGGTTGGTGGTTTGGAATATGGTTTTTATATTTGTTCCATATATTGGGAATGCCATGATCCCAACTGACTTTCACTTCATCATTTTTCAGAGGGGTAGGTTGAAACCACCAACCAGATCACCATGACGACGCTGCCAGGTGCCCATTGGGGGCAAGGGTAGCATTTTACAATCATAATTGAGACGATTGATATTAATTTAAGTATATATCTATATATATATATCATCATAGTTTATCATCATAGTTGATCACTGTTTGAATTTGTGTTCATATACCCTCTGGTAATTTAACGTAGCCATGGAAAATCCCCGTTTTTTAGAACGGTAAACCATGAATTTCTATGGGCCATCTATACCATGGCTATGTTAGTCATAACCAGAGGGTATTCTTCTATCTTTTTGGGGGTCTTCAGATTTAGATCTTCCACCGATTCGTTTTTCGAGCGCCGCGCAAATTGTGGAGGCCTTCTGCATGACCCCCGGCGCCTAGACTTGTCTCTGTGGTGGGCGGCGCATCGGCACTGTGAGCGGTGCCATGGCATGCCATGGTGGTCCCGGAGGAGCTTTGATGTCCAAGAACCATTCTAAATATCGTTATTATTTGTTATGAATATTCATTAATATATTTAATATAACACACTTCATATTATCAACTCATGATTCCCAAATGATGAAGATAATCCAAAAATTATACATAGTACAACAATGCAGAGTTGTTTTTGATGGTATCATAGTTAGCCTCACCTGGTGGGTAGGAGTTCCAGACATTGACCCAGTCCCCTGGGTCAAAAAAAGAATGGCGCATTCATATATCTCCGCGTGATGTCCCAACATATTCCATTGTGATCCATTATGTATATATATATATATACATATGTATATGCATATGATGGTGATGATGATGATGATAGATGATAGATGATAGATGATGATAGATGATAGATGATAGATGATGATAGATGATAGATGATAGATGATGATAGATGATGATATATGATGATAGATGATAGTATGATAGATGATGATAGATGATGATATATGATGATAGGTGATGATAGATGATGATAGATGATGATAGATGATGATAGATGATGATAGATGATGATAGATGATGATAGATGATGATATATGGTGATAGATGATGATAGATGATGATAGATGATGATAGATCATGATAGATGATGATATATGGTGATAGATGATGATAGATGATGATAGGTGATGATAGATGATGATAGATGATGATAGATGATGATAGATGATGATAGATGATGATAGATGATGATAGATGATGATAGATGATAGATGATAGATGATGATAGATGATGATAGATCATGATAGATCATGATAGATCATGATATATGGTGATAGATGATGATAGATGATGATAGATTATGCTATGTGATGTTATATGATGATATATGATGTTATATGTATATATATATATGTGAGGACGACGACGACGACGACGACAACGACGACGACGACGACGACGAGGAGGAGGAGGAGGAGGATGATGATGATGATATATGTGTGATGATGATGATGATGATGATGATGATGATGATGATGATGATGATGATGATGATGATGATGATGATGATGATGATGATGATGATGATGATATACATATATATATATACATATATTTTTGATTATATATATGATATTTATCTATATCCCCAATACATCCACATCACATTTGCTCTTACACCGCTATCCAGAGGCTATGTTTGAAAATCAAGAATGTGCCCAAAATTCAATTGCATATTGCCTATTACATTTTCCTCATTCAAGTAGCAACAAGTTGGGATATTACCCCATGTTCAAGCCTAACCACATAATCCACATATGAAATTGGTGGTGATAAATCCTATAATATCCCCATATCACACGAACTTACCGTTTTGTCTCTTAAATCCCCTATGTTTCTTGGTGATTCACCATATGATCCCCACCCTCTTGACGCCACCCAGGTTCGCCGCCACTGCCGGTGATGCGACGTCCTTTCGAAGCGTCACCTGCGGCCACTTCGAAGTGAAGACGGGTGCCAGGTCGCCGATGTTCGCCCGAGCCAGGATTAGCACCAGCTTGGCAACTGGGATGGGAGCAGTTCTTGGTGCTGAACAGTTCTGGTTATGGGATTACTATAACTTGTGGATGGAAAAATGTGAAAAATACCACTGAAATGTGTTTTTTGCCAGTTATAACTCTTAGTTGGACTATAACTGTGGTAGGTTTTGGTGAGAGGAACCTCATCTTCAGCCATGTTGATGGCAGGGCCGACCATCATGGGGCCGCGCGTTGCAACCAATGAACCAACTGGCTATTGAAAATGGCCATTTATAGTGGATTTACCCAGCTATAAAATAGTGATTTTCCATAATGACATGGATGGGGATAGCCGGGATAGCGACAAGAAACGAGCAGTATTGGCCAACCTCAGTTTTTGCTGATATCAAACCATCAGGAATCATAGTAAAACCACCAGGAAATTGTCTGAAGTCGATCCAACAAAGCATGACTTCATGGATCAGGAGGCAAATTTCATACTGTAGATTTGAATAATTATTTGAAATTTCAACTGGATCCCCGGCGCCAAGGACAACTTTGGAGATGCCTTCCAAGTTGGTTCCTTGTCACCTTGCTGTGTTTTCGATGTAACAAGCGCCCAAAATATAGCCCAGTTATAGCCCCAAAAATGCATAGATCCAATATTCACTCAGGGTATCTTAGAGCGTGTTCATCAATAGGGGCGTAAAAAAACAATGTTTTTACAGTGAGTGTAGTGACCATGCCGGCTGGTAATTCGTTCGCAAACACCGTCGGTAAGTCAGTGATTCGGGGAAGATGTGATGGCGGGAAACTCCTTGGGGTACTGCAGATGTTCCAAAAAAACCTTAAATCAATCCATCGACACGTCCATTATAAACTGGTTGGTGGTTTGGAACCATGGCATTTTATGATTTTCCCTTCATCTTGGGAACAATAATCCCAACTGACTTTCACTCCATCATTTTTCAGAGGGGTAGGGCGAAAAACCACCAACCAGTAAATCTCATATTCAAGCCCCAGAATTTCATCCCAATACCATCTGGCTATTTAACATAGCCATGGTATAGATGACCCATAGAAATAGATGGTTTACCTGGGTTTACCTATTAAAAATGGTGGATCTTTCCACGGCTATGTTAGTCATAACCAGAGGGTATATCCCATTAAATCCCATTAAACCACCATAAAGAAGTCTTTAAACCACCATTTTCCTATGGTTTTCCTATGGTTTTCCTATGGTTTTCAAGGTCCATTGAGTCCATTGTTGTTCCTCAACCGGAGGGAGTTCTCACCCAGGACAAGCTTTTGATGACGACCCAGAGACCTACTTTTGGGCCGTGAGTCCTCAGGTGGTTTGCCAAAAATGATGGGTTGACGACCTGACTTCATGACCAGAATGGAATATCATGTGGGTAAAACAACGTCATAAACCAGCCATTTGGGAAGGGTAACCATCTCACCTATAAAAGTGGTGATGATTGGGGGATGGTTTATGGCATTGTTTTACCCACATTATTGGGAATGAATAAATATTATGAACAGGGATTCAATCAAGCGACCAAGATCTTCTGAATGGAGGTTTCCAAAGTCATGGGGATACCCCCTTGCATCATCCAAGTCACTAGACCGTTTTCAGTATTGAAACAAGCATGGTGACATGAGGATCCTCCATTTTAAGACCCCATATGACCACATGGCTTTGTTTGGAAATAGGGGGTACCCACAAATATCCGCTTTTAGCATCTTTCCATTGGGAAGATGATGATTAAATCCATTGGAATTGGGTGTGGAATTGGGTGTATCCGATTCTTTCAGATATGACGGTAACGACGTCAAAGGGCCTTGAAATCCTGATGGTTTTCATGATTCTTTCGCTCTACCCTCTGGTTATTTAATATAGCCATGGAAAGATCCACCATTTTTGATAGATAAACCATCTATTTCTATGGGCCATTTCCCATGGCTAACTGTTAGTCATAACCAGATGGTATTTTTTAGTGCTTCAAATCCAGATTGCAGGCAGGCGACATGATAGAGGTGGCCTTCCTGGAGGCTCGAACTGAACTGATGGCCTGTGAGGGGTCAACGGCCTGTTGGGCCGAAGTTGCTGGGACATGGGACACAGTTCAAAGGATCCCACCATATTTGTAGGCGATTTCCTAGTTGAGAAGCCAGATTCCTCGAGAATTTCGAAGAATCCATGAGTGAGTTAGTCCAACAATGGGGATATCGCAAGGTATATGTCCCATTGACAAAACCATTTTTTATAGTTAAACGATTTGAAACTATGCAAAATGGTGTCAACCAGTGTATACATCAGGGTTTTTAAGCTGTTTAATATTTCTTTCAATCAGAATGCGGTTTTATCCCATTTAAAGCCATGAAAAGATTATGTAGTTATGTTCAGTTCTTATATAGTTCAACCCAATTCTTTGCCATAGAAGAAACGGGTTTTATATGGTTTTATGTATGACCTGTTTTATTTTTTTGTAAAAACAAAAACATGAGTTCTTATACTTAAACCCAGTTCTTTGGTTAGTGACTAGTGATGTTTTCAGCGGTTCCAAGGGCTTCCATTGGCCCTTTCGGCCCAGGGACGGCGGCGAAAAGCGTCGCTGGGCAAGTGGCTGAAAGAGTTGGTGGTGAAGACTGGATCCAAGGTCGGGATGTTGGAAAGTTGTGGCAACGGTTAACTGGTTGGTGGTTTGGAACCATTGAATTTTATGACTTTCCATATATTGGGAAAAACAATCCCAACTGACGAACTCATATGTTTCAGAATTTTAATGGGATATAATAGTGTTTTTAATGGGATATAATGGGATATAATCATTAATAATGGAACCATGGAATGGATTATGACTTTCCCATCATATTGGGAAGGTCATAAAATCCCAACTGACTTTCACTAACTCATATTTTTCAGAGGAGTAGGTATACCACCAACGAGTTAATGACTAACTTGTGCTAAACGTAGGGAATTTTCGGGAATGATCCACTGGCTAACTATCAATAATCCCAGCAACCCCCATTCCCATCCATTCCCTACGTTTAGCAACAGGAAGATTATTACTAATGGTTATTGGTTGATGTTTGTTTACCGTGGTTACTAATAATGGTTACTAATGGTTCATAATGGCTTGTATTGGTGAATATTGGTTACTATTGGTTAACTTATGTACATATGCTGTATAATAGTGGTTAATAGTGGGTTAAATAACAATAACTTATATAGTATAGCATAATAGCCATAAGTTGTAAGTTAGCCATATAATGCCAATATTATTATTACATATAATAGCCATAATAGCTGGGTTTACTTTGTGGATTCATTGTGGATTTGTGGTGAGTGGGATATGTCATGGGTTACTTTGCGGTGTCATCGGCTCCATGGCTAGTTCGATGATTTCCCAGTAAGACCGTCCATTTATCGGGGGATAACCAGGATAACCTTCTGATAAACTAGCAGTTTGCTATGGAAAGATCCACCATTTTATAGCTGGGTAAATCCACTATTTCTATAGCAATTTTCAATAGCTTTTTGTATGTTTACCAGGCCGGGTAACACGTATTTATTGGCCTTTTGGTGATCATTGTTCATACGTCATGAAAGGAAAACTCTGAATCATGATGGATGAAAAATTGAGCTGATGCTCTTGTGCATATTTGTGTAGTTGAAACTTCCTATCTGCGTGTGGCGGATCATATTTCGAAGCGAAGAACAGTGACCAATCCCTGGTGTTCCTACTGGTTCTTTGGCAGGCGCGATGGATAGATGTTGGACCCAAATCCATCAAGATCAGGAACGTGTGTAGAGAGCTTCTTTGAACTACAGTATTAAATCCGCATGTGATATTTTTGAACTAGTGATAAAATCCTTGAAAATTGTGTTAATTTCCATCGGTTGATCTTTTCATTGGTTTGTTTTCCGTGAATGTCAACATCCATCAGTAGATGCCTACACCAATTTACAAGCCCATGAACAAATCCATCAAAGAATTCAAGAAGTCCATCGATCTGTCAGTAGATCCTAGTAAGTCCTACCATCAGAATCTCAATGATCTCCCGAGTTCTAACAAAAACGTCTGCCACATCACTGCCATTTATGGTTAAGATGGGGTACCACCGTAACTAGCCCAACAATATCCGAATGTTTCAGCTTTGGGGGTGTCCAATTCATCTGCAGAATATGTGTTGATATACAGCAGGATATGACAATTTTAAATCGGAATATATGTATATATATATACTGTATATATATATACATAGTATGAAACTTCAACCATAATATCATGGCTATATAATGCTATATAATTTATCAATAATGTCATCAAATCGATTTCAACAATGAGCTATGTCAATCTATGTCATAGGTATCCCATGAAAAATCTACCAATGATTCACTTATCATAGCCTCTGGTAATTTAACATAGCTATTGAACATTGCCCAGTCGAAATAGTGGATTTTCCCAGCTCTAAAATGGTGGATCTTTCCATGGCAAACTGTTAGTTTACCAGGCCGGGTAAATCCCATTAGATCACTATTAAACCACCATAAAATCACCATTTATAGTGGTTAAATCACCATCAATACAGTAATATCATCTATTTCAATCTATGTCATAGGTATCCCATGAAAAATCTACCAATGATTCATTTATCATAGCTATTTTCCCTCATCATTCTGCAGTAAAATTGCTGCAGGATCGACCTTCGGATCAATTGGAACAGGGGCAGCTGAAGGTGGCACAGTGGCTTCAGGCCATCCTGCCTTGGACATGGTGACGGTGGTGCTGCAGTTGGCAAAAACCATGGGAAAACCATGGGAAAACCATGGGAAAACCATGGGAAAACCATGGGAAAACCATGGGAAAACCATGGGAAAATGGGAAAACCATAGGAAAACCATAGGAAAATTGGTGGTTTAAAGACTTTTTTATGGTGGTTTAATGGGATCTAATGGGATTTACCCTCTGGTAAACTAAGATAACTATGGAAAAATAATCACAATTTTTGTATAGGTAAACCATCTATTTCTATGGGCCATGGCTTCCATGGCTATGTTAGTCATAACCAGAGGGTAATTCCAATAAAGTGTTGGGTTTTTGGATGGTGCTGGTTATGTTTCTGGTAGAAATCCATGTCGCACTCTAAATCATTCTGGCAACATAAAGCAACATTCAGAAGCCTTGTGGAGATTTCACCATGGCAATCCCTGTTGGATGAAACTGGCGAGCGCAGCAAAAGAATTGGGAATTGACCTTGGCAAAAAATATGGGTAGTTGATGGTAGTTGACCAGCAAAAGATGGCGATTGAAGCAAGAAGATTTTGGGGTGCCAATGGTAACATAAAATCGAGAGCAATTTCAGGGGGCCAAGATTCTTGGCATGTAAATCAACTGCAGGCATGCATTCTAAAAGGACCTACTGTTGAAATGCTAAAGCCCTTTGCCAGTTATCAATGGTTATAAATGGTTGTAAATGGGGTTATCATTCCATAAATGGGGTGATGTCACTGACTTATAACTGGTATTTGGGGTCATAACTGTACAGCACGATACTTAAACTTTAGTAGGACTTGTTTCTATCTAGACACCAGCTGGATGCGTTACGTGGTGATTAGTCACATGATGTTTGACCCATTTGTCGCTCTGGGATGTAAGAAAACAAATGAGGGGGACATTGCCAAATATTGATAACATTGATAACATCTCAGGGATACAGTATATAGCCACTGTGCAAATTTTGGCGGTGTCTACCGAATTCTTTTGATTTCCAGCTGTCCCCCATCATATCCCCATCAAAAAGGTGATCTCCCCAATGACAGCTCCGATTTCCCATAAGATATAGGCAAAAAATGATGCAAACAATGATGCAAAAGATGCTCTTCCAGAATGTATGCATATATTTTTCTATAGAATTATGTATGGTACATAAATTATGCATATTCTATCATCGTCTATCCCAACTGTTGGTTTTCTGAGTCGCGGGGCCGCGGGTCGCCTCGCCAGGCGGATGGTACCTGGGCCCTAAAGTGGAGATCCATTTGTGCCTTCAAGGATGGTGAGTGTCGCGGTGACCACGACACCTTGATGAAGGACGGCCAAGGGCCCCAAGGGCGATGAATCCCAGGGAGACGTTGCTTGGGAAATACCGTAGTTCCGGTGAAAAATCCACTTAGTTCACTAATATATAGTGGGATGTACTGGGCTATCATCTCATCTGGGAGACCCAAAATTACTCATGTTTACTGTTTAATACCTAAAAAAGCAGGGTCCATCACCTTAAAAAGTGCCTGCAAAATGGCAGGGTCCATCTTCAATTTCAGCAGATTCCGAAACGAGTTTCGTGAAAATTGACGCAGGGCCCCATCGTCACCATCCGGCTGAGTGTCATGGCCACGCAAACGAAGTGGATGGCCCTGCCCGAGTTCGAGGCGAGCCTGGTGGTTGAAGCTACCGTGGAATTTTTTAGGGCTTTGAAGGACCGGAAATTGATCGATTCACGGGGATTGAGCATATTGTTCAAGTGCCAATTGATGGAATTCATGGGGGGTTTTACCCTCTGGTAAACTGACAGTTTGCTATTGAAAATGGCCCAGTCGAAATAGTTCTTTTACCCAGCTATAAAATGGTGATTTTCCATAGTTACAACACACATTTTTTACAGGCAACATTGGGATTTGAGCTACCCACACATGGATTTGACCAACGAGTTTATGAGGGAAAAAATAGGGATAGAATGGGACAGAAGCCCTTTCAAACGGTGAAGTGACGATATACCAGATGAAATGAGGCAAGTACCCGTAAGTACCCTATCTTTTGACAAGCCCAGTTGGAAAGGAAGATGAAGAACTGAAGATTTTGAGTGGGCTTACAGTTTACAGGGTCCGCAAAAGGACAGAAAAATGGTTGCAGGATGCTACAGGTTTCTGGAGTCATTGAAACACTGGTTTTGTGAATAGATCATGTGAGCTATCTGATAGAAACGCATGGCCTAGGGAGGTCGACAACTCAGTTTTGGTGTTTCAGGTTTGGCTACAGATTTTGGGTCCGATCCCAGTCAAACAAATATCGTCGGGAGATATGTTGTTCGGATATGATGTTCCCAACTGGTTTCCCTGTTTCCGGAGGTGTCTCAACCACCATCCAGATGATACCAATGGATACATCGTCCATGCTATATGTAGCTTTGGAATGCATCGGCGAAAAGCCCCAATTGCCATTTGTGCCATTGTCAATAGTTGGACTATATATATATACACATATATATATATATATATACAATGACAATAATATATATATGTGTAATATACTAATATAGTGCAATATATATATATATATATTCATATAACATACAATATACATGTAGTATCATAATATCTATACATATCATCTCTAAGATATGCAGCCAGGTGGAAGAGGCTCAGGCCGGATGCGCTTGGAGATGGTGATGGGTGTTTCACCATGGTGAAACCATGGTGAAAATGGTACTTTTTCAGCAAAAATATGGAGATTTTCACCAACAGTATGGGGATTTTTCACTAAGGATAGCTATCTGGGACTTCTAACATCTGTATAACTTGGTTAACTCCGGTTTATGGGGAATATTTCACGAATTAGTGCATGGCTTTGAAAAAAAAAACGACAAACATAGCTGTACAGATTCCTCAATCCACAGGTTTTGCCCGGCATGCTGTGGATTCGAGCATTTCGAGCATTTGTAGATGTTTTTTGGATCCGCTATGTTGGAAAGCCATGGACGCCCCATTTAAATCATTTGTTCCCCATGTGTCAGCCTGTGTCAGTGTTGATGGTTCAACTGAACTCTGGGAGCGGTTCGGAGCGGTTCGATATTCAATGGTCACAATTTCGAGAGATGGGGAGCCAGTTGGAGCTAGTTGAGTTTCCCAACCAAATGATGGTTTTCCCCATCAAACACCGCGGTTTTCCCCATCAAAAAACATAGTTTACGTCATTTCTGCCCGGGTAAAACCATCCACAACCCACAACCCCAAGGCTTTTCAAAAAGCCACGCTCCAGGAGCACCCGGAGCATCCGACAGCGGAGGAAATTGAGGACACTGCTCCAGGTGAGGATTTGGGGGTTCAACCACGAAAATCGATGGATTTGGCCATGGATCAATGGTGATTTCGAGTTCACCAGAAGTGACATGTTTTTTCCATCAGGATAGTTGGTATCCGGAAATGGTGTTTTTTTTTCATGATTGAGGGTTGAAGCATGGTTATTGTAGATATGGGTATGGCATAGTCCCACCAAATTTGCAGGGTAGCTGGAAACCCATAGGTACGTAAGCCAAAATAGGAAATTGATGGAAATTGGCTACCAATTTTCCCGCCAAGACGTATCTGGGGTGGCCAGGGAGCAAACCTGAAGATCAAGGATCGAGAGGTATAAGGTGGTGCCGCAAATTTATATCTAAGCTAGATTTTGAACTCCAAGAAGTAGGTTTATGGATGTTTATGGAGGTTTGTATAAATGTTTAAAGATGTCTGTGGATGCTTATGGATTTGTATGGGATGTTTATGGATGTTTCTTAGTTAATGAGGGTAAACCGTGACATTTCATGAAATTTCATCCACTGGTTTTATCCACTAGAGACCTGCACCTTATGTCCCTTACTCTACCAGTGTCATTAAACATGGTTTGAAAATCCACCATTCATATTCATAGTTTTCTCATGACAAAACCTCCATTTAGATGGATGATTTGTCATTGTCCATTACTCAAATCAGGTGTTTTTTGGGGCACTCCCTGTTCATGGATTATGATAATCCCAATGAATCTTGGTTAATCCCCGAACCAATCCTCAATCCGGGGCTTTGAATTCAGATTGAATTCGGATTGAATTCAGCTAGTTATGCTCACCATGTTCCCAGGTATGTGTATAATATATTAATAGATTATATATATATATATGTGTGTGTGTTCCATAGAATTGTCCATGAAACTAACCAGGCCGTCCTAGTGGATGAAACCACATGTACCAATTAACTATCCATTAATGATAGTGTGATTCGTCGAATTCCTACTGTCTGTGATATATGACATGAATTCATGATTATTAAGACATCCATATTCTTATGGTCCATAATTATCCATGATAGACATTATCTATATTCATTGAATTACATTAAATTCACCATGTGTATCATGAATATAGATACATAATGTTATAGACCATGATAATAATCATGTGAACATTCACTAACCTAATTGTGACGGTTAATATTGATCATGATCATAAATTAGCCATGTTAATATTCACTAACCATTTTTAAGCAATAACCATGGCTAATATTGATCATAAATCATTGAATAATCCTTCAATAATCTTAATAAGATGTTCACCATTGTTGCTCATTTAACATCCATTGAATAATCATTTCATATCATTTAATGTTGGTAAAACAATCATAAACCACCCATTTGGGAATGGTTTATACAATCTATAGAAAAATAGTGATTTGGGGGATGGTTTATGGCATTGTTTTACCCACGTTAAAACATATGAAAAACCTAATGTTGATCATTAATCATTGAATAATCATCTATTAAGCATTTAATATTATTAATTAACCATTGAATATAATCACCATGTTACTAACTTTAGGCCCCGGCGGCAGGTTCCAAGAGCCACCTGTCCCAACTGGTGAGCAACGTTTGGGAGTCCTCGGCTGGCTCCGACACTGCAGCTGCCGCGCCTGTTGGAGACGCGCCGGAGCGACATGGCGCGAAGGGAAAAGGGGACCCTCCTGCAATGTGAGGCCCCCCAGTTATAAGTTGGTTTATAAGCTCCAGTAACTATAGTTATAAGTACCATAAACCATAGCTATTGGAGTTATAAACCAGCTTAGCTATCTTGGGGGCCTCACATTGTGGGTTTGGGTCAACATGAAATTGGGAAGCCAACGGGTACCCTCTGGAAAACATACAAAAAACGATGGAAAAACATCGTCTGTAATTGGTAAATCAACTATTTCGACTGGGCCATGTTCAATAGTTTTTTGTTACCAAAGGGTAACCAAAGTTGGGATTTAAGGATATAAGATGATGTTGACATGGATTGAATATGGATTTAACCCATCAAAGTTTCAGGGCGAGTTTCACCAAAATAGGGACTTCACCATCCAAAAGAAGCGGGGGAGATCACTGAAAATGTGGAGTTCACCAAGATGGCGATTTGGCCAACAGTGGCCGCTCCAAGATCTGAAACAGAGCGAATTTCTCAAGCAGTAGGGGGGATCAACTAGCGATCTTGGGGCCTAGAAAGTGTATCCTTACTGTATCTTCGTGGGGTATCTTGAAGGGTAATTGGTAGCCCCTGCCCGAGCTGATCCTCACGATGATAGCGTAGAAAATGGCTGATCCAAGGCCAAAACCAGAAATGATCGCGAATTCAAGAGAAATTGGTGATAGCATTAGATTGCTTACATGTTAGTAATTTATAGCATCACCAATTAACTTCCATTGGAATTCAAGAGAAATTGCTGATAGCCATCCCCAATGGAAGATGATTGTTGGGTTTGAGCATCGCACCAAGCACACTTTGAAAAGCCATGCTCTCCCTCCTCCTGAAATTCTGCGTTTCACTTGGGGGGCATCCAAATTAGTCAGTTGGTAATACTAGTAATAACCATTTTTGCACAAACAGCTCACTATCATCCTCACTATCACCATAATTATAACCCATCTATTTTCCGCCTCATCTATGATTTATGGGTTATAAAGTTATAAACCATAACCCATGTTTTTTTTTTCGGCTGTTCACCATGATATATTCCAGCTACTAGTGGGATCACCGATCGGTTTTCCCAAGTGGCGCTCTTTTTTGTATTCACCACTGGCGGTAGGGTCTGGGTTACATATCCATTTTTTATGGTTCAAGGAAGTGAATATATAAGTTTTTTCGCCATAAACGGTTCTAACTGTGTTATAGAATGTTATAGATAACTATTTATCCAATATTCACCATTTATAAAAGAATTACATTCACCATTTCTGGGTTTTAAATATCCTGAACTTCCTGAACCGTGGCTTATAGATGAGTTATATTAACTTATATCTTGAGAACCATGGTTTTCTATTCACCACTTTACTGGTTAGAAAAATGGGTGATATTCACCGTTGATATCCCTTCATGGGATTTTTAAGTGGCTTTTTTCAGTCATGTCAACCCCGGATTTTCATAAACCCCAACCAAACGGCTGTTGAAAAAAGGGGGGTACGTACCATTTCAGTACCACAACTCATCAACTGGGGGAAACACCACAATTCATCAACTTAGCCGGGTTTATAAAATGTGTCACACCTCCATTTATGGGTTATCCAATGTTATCCATTCATGGGATGCACACGGGTTAGAAACCCAACTGGTAAACGTTTACATATGGAAAGATCCACCATTTCGAATAGGAAAACTCACTATAAATTATAAATGGCCATGGCTTATGTCGCAAACTGTGAATGTCACTACCAGAGGATAAATCCCATATCATCCTATTATTCACCATTGTTATACCGCCATAACCCATTGTTAAACCATTAAATCACCATGAAAAATCACCATTTCACAGCTCCTCCCAGCTCCGCAGTTCGCCCAGGTCCTCCACCTCCCCGCCCGAACGTCGCCGCATGCCCAGCCACGCGCTGCGGCCGCCGCCGCACAACATGACGCGCCGCGCGCCGCGCAACGTGACGCGCCGGCCGCAACCACGGCTCAACGAGACGACGAAGGAGCGGTTTTTTTCGGCTTTGGGATGGCGTTGGAGATGGGATATGATATAAAAAAAACATATGAAACATCCATGAAAAACCTATGAAGATACTTAAAAACATAAATGGATGTGATGTGAAGTGGATGGTTTTTCAAAATTTGTGTCACCATTGGGTAACCATAATTAGTGGGACTTCATTGGAAACTGCTTTGGTTTCTTTATGGTCCAATGGGGCCGTGGAATGTTTGGGGAGGCAAGCAGGAAACCAGGCTGGATCCATTTCGAGCTCCAACATACGGACTATTTTACACCATGTAAATTGCCACATTTTTAGAAGTTGTTGGATTATATAGAGGTTTACCCTTAAAACCATCGGGTTTGCCGAGTAAATTTTGCCACCCCACCTTTCCAGATGACGTGTTTGTTTTGAACAGACTAACTGGCAGAAATAGCTGGGAGATGATGGGAAGTTGGTAGCAGTTTGCTACCTGAATCATTTTATGTTTTTTCCGCAGGAGAAATACCTCAGGGCTATGGAGGCGCTGCTGATTTGGATTGGGAGCTTAACCCGCAAAGATTTGGAGCTTTCTATGGTGGCAAAAGGTGCCAAAAATTACCAAGTGGTTTTTACGTCACGTTAGATTGGCCTGCCTAGCGTGCAGTCCTAAGTCAGTAATTCTATGGTGGCAAAAGGTGCCAAAAATTTACCAGTTGTGGTTTTCACGTCACGTGAAATCTTGGCCTGCCTGCTAGTGCAGTCTTGAAAGTGTTTCAAGGCAGAGTTTTTTTTCGATATTTAATGACTTAGGAGTAGCCACAGGTTGTCTTCTCGGGATTGACCCTACCAAATACTGTCAACCCCGGAAGAAGTGGTCACTCTCAGCAATGGGGATCAAAAATGGACAGCACGAAGCGAATCAGCTGTAACCCATGTTGGTTATGTTGCCATACCCCCAGAAGATATCCCATGCCAGCAGTTGATAGTCATATGAGATGATAAGCCCATCAACTATAGCTATAATTTAGGTATACTATATTACTATAACCATCTAAAAAAACACTAAACATATAATGTGGTTTATATACTTTATTAAGTTTATTACATTGAGCTATTACTCTATATATGAGCAGGGACCCCCACACCCCCCCCCAGCCAGATGGTTCCCCCCCCCCTGTGGCAGGGGAGGGGGGGTTTTCTCAGCAGCCAAGCCATGGTGTATGTAGTCTTTATAGTGCATATAATGCATATGTATCGATAATTAGAATGGATATACTATATGTAATATAGAGTGTATGTGTAGTGTATATATATAAACATATATATATATAATATGTAAGATATAAATAGAAT